GAGTATTTCAAATAATAATATCTGACACTTCAATTTGGAGTTTGAGAAAAAAAGATACTGAAGAAACAAGCTGCAGTCCTTACTCCAGCATGACTCTTTTGGAAGTAGGGTTAGACACACCTGCAGATATGAAAAAAATATTTTCTAAACAACATGCCATATTGAACACATGAAATATATATAAGTACATGCATATATATATACACACACACACATATTTATATAGAGTCATTATAGTAACGGCAACAGTGATTCTGCAGAAAATCGATCTTTACTTCCAGAGATAGTTTAGCATTCAGAAATCATCCAAAAAATAAAAGCAAGCATATATTTCTTCATTAGCTAAAAATACAGCAAGTGCAGTATTTGCAAAGAGCTAGAGTAGAATTCTGTGTTTAATATGTCTATCAAACTTGCAAACATTTTCCTACATAATTTGACAGACCTCATCTTGAGCTAAAAATAATTTAAACACATTGATTGATAAAATATTGACTTTGACTCCCTTGCTACAGGATCAAGCAACTCCATTTCTTTTACCTGTATTAACATATTTTGCAACCTCTTCCTTCACAGATATGTTTAATATAAGATAATCCAGTATTCTCACACCCACCTACAATAAAGATATTATTGCTGCACGCTTGCTACGGAATCCTTTCCTAGCCCTGTACTGTCCATGTTCTTGCTTCCAACTTCTCTAGCCTAAAGGGTCTAGTCCCACATCCCCATACAAGGGCATGATACTTAAGTAGTTAGCTGATATTTCATTTCAACATAGCTCCCATTCCACTTCTCATTTCCATAATTCACATAAAAGTCTTTTTAAAAAAAAAAACACAACATTTTTTTCCATACTTAACTAACTTGAGCTTATTTATCCAGATTTGAAATGTTGAATGCTTTCTTTTTTTCCTCCCTTTATGTAGCAAGGGCAATTAAACATTTGCAGAGTTTACATGGAAACATGGTTTGTCATCTCTATTGGATTTAAAGACTGAATGACGTTTTAAAAGAGGTGCTACTGCATAACTAAATATATTGAGCTCAGTACAGTTCTGAGCCTACTAATAAATACATTGTCTGCTGTTTAGATTATATGAAAGACCAAGGGAGAGAGAAAACAAAATCAAATACATGCTTTTCAAATAAACTGTTGTTTGAAATGCCTGCTCTTAAGGAAATTTAACTGGTAGGACAGACAATAATGGACCCATGTTAAGGCAAGAGAGATCCATTTTAGGCAGTGGAGCCTGGTAACAGTGAATTTGCTGGTATTTCCTCTGCACAACCTGTTAGCACTTTGTAAATAGCATCACAATGAATGGAATAAGATGAATAGTACAGTAAAGAGAGAAAAAGTTATATGAATTAGGCTTAAAATAATTACAGCCACAGTTTCGGTATTGTCTGTGGAAGATTACCTGTACAGCGTGCAAAACAAAACAAAAAACCCCAGCCACAGGGAGATTAATATCAGAACAATGCCTGGAGGGATGCCTGCTCCGAATGAGCATTAATTTGAAACAGTGCTCTGTAGAGGCAGCTATAAAAGGGAAATAGCTTAAGAATAACAACAAGATGAATTGTTTTATTCTGTATCAGATAAATACATGGAGAGCTTTGAAGGGCAGCCATGCTGTACATGGCTTGTTTCAGGCAGTTTGAAGTGGCTTCACTGTATAAGATCATAAAGAGTCTGACTTTCTACAGCGCAGCATCTACCCAAGAAAATCCTTGACGATTTAAAGCAAACATATACACACGGTATTTTTGAAATGGGTGCTTTGACAGTCAGCTGCAAAGGAAATTTTATACCAGTGTTTGATGCAGTGGCTTCATTTTGACACTGTCTCCCACAACATCCTCATACGGAAGCTCCGGGACAGTGGGCTAGACGAGTACACGGTGCGGTGGATCGAGGGCTGGCTGGATGGCAGAGCTCAGAGGGTGGTCATAAATGGGGCCGAGTCCAGCTGGAGGCCTGTGGCCAGTGGTGTCCCCCAGGGGTCAGTACTGGGCCCAGTGCTGTTCAACTTGTTTATCAATGACCTGGACGAGGGCACGGAATGCACCCTGAGCAAGTTTGCGGATGACACCAAGCTGGGTGGAGTGGCCGACACTCCGGAGGGCTGTGCTGCCATCCAGAGGGACCTGGACAGGCTGGAGAGTTGGGCAGAGAGGAACCTCATGAGGTTCAATAAGGACAAGTGCAGGGTCCTGCACCTGGGGAGGAATAACCCCAGGCATCAGTACAGATTAGGGGTCGACCTGCTGGAAAGCACCTCCACGGAGAGGGACCTGGGAGTCCTGGTTGACACTAAGTTAACCATGAGTGAGCAGTGTGCCCTCGTGGCCAAGAAGGCCAATGGCATCCTGGCCTGCATCAGGAGGAGTGTTGCCAGCAGGTCAAGGGAGGTGATTCTGCCCCTCTACTCAGCTCTGGTGAGGCCGCACCTGGAGTACTGTGTTCAGTTCTGGGCACCCCAGTATAGGAGAGACGTGGAGCTTCTGGAGAGGGTCCAGAGAAGGGCAACCAGGATGATTAAGGGAATGGAACATCTCTCGTATGAAGAGAGGCTGAGCGAGCTGGGCCTGTTTTCTCTGGAGAAGAGACGGCTCAGAGGGGATATGATTAATATGTATAAGTTCAGGAAGGGAGAATGCAGGGAGGAAGGGGACAGGCTGTTCTCACTGGTGGCCAGCGATAGGACGAGGGGTAATGGCCACAAGCTGAAGCACAAGAAGTTCCGTCTCCAGGTGAGGAGCAACTTCTTTACTGTTAGGGTGACAGAGCAGTGGAACAGGCTGCCCAGGGAGGTTGTGGAGTCTCCTTGTCTGGAGGTCTTCCAAACCCGCCTGGATGCCACCCTGTGCCACATGCTGTAGGTGTGCCTGCTTGAGCAGGAAGGTTGGACTAGATGATCTGTAGAGGTCCCTTCCAACCTTAAATATTCTGAAATATTCTGAAATATTCATATGATTCGTAATTCTAGATACTGTGGCATAAAGGAACGTGTTTTCAGCTATAAATTTTGGAGAGAAATTGAAAAAAAAAAAGACTTCTTAATGTCCTGCAAATAAATGCTATTTCTAGATTTAGATGCAAGGTCTCCTTCTCTGGAAATCTCCAAAGCATGCTTGGATGCAACCCAGTGCCACATGTTCTAGGTGCCCCTGCTTGAATAGAGGGGTGGGGACTAAATGATCTCAACAGGTCCCTTCCAACCTCAACCATTCTGTTGTTCTGTGTGATTCTGTGATCTCATCTGTGTCCACTTGTGTGAAACACACACTGTCGGTTGACTTAAGGACTGCATGGACCTATGCACCAAGCTGGAAGCATGTTGCCCTCAGTGGCATGTAACCTAATGAAAGCCATGACATTTTGCTAAACAGGAACAGAAGTCCAAATGCAAGTAAAATGCACTCCCCTGGAGTATGAAAGTCACCCAACTGTTAACTATCCACATCTGCCCACATTTTTCTGTATTAGTCTGAGAGGGCTCTTAACTTCCCATAGCTTTCAGGAGGATGGTGCATCTAAACCAGAGAGCCCCAAACAACTTTTAAATTAAAATACTAGATTTTATTAGAATATGAAGTGAAGAAAATTAGTCTTACTGAATTATTTCCTATTTAACAAAGACAGAACAGAAAAAACGTGTAATCATCTTATTTGTGCACCCTCCCTTTCAGGGTATTTCATTTTTTTTTTTTCTTCCCTAAATTAAAAATAAACATGGCAATTCAATTGGAAGGAGTACTTGAGCACCCAATTCTCCTAGGAGCAGCCAGCTCCCGGGTTTTTGCTATCACTCACTCTTACCATATAGTACAGTCTGCAGCTTTTTTTCTCCTGGACATACTCAACATAGACGTTCACCTTGACTCATTCCTACTCTTTCCTGTAGGAGAATACGATGGCTACATGCACAGGTCTACCAGGGAAGCTTAAAGATGCCCGTCCTCTTCCCTACTCTGCAGCTCCTGCAGTGCTTTGAGCTGCAAGTTTGCAGCATTACACTCACAATTTCGCTGACCCCAGGACTGATACACAAGTCTGGAGGAAACCTCTGTATTACAGGCAACTTGATTTTTTCCTTTCTTTTGGGCTTTTAACTTTGCCCTTTTATAGCTTATCCCACTGCTTATAAGATTTGGTTCCAATTGCTTTGGCTTCACCTACAGCTTAGTAGTTTAGTAATAATTAGTAATTTAGTAATATTCTCTAGTGAAGCAAAGAAAAATCTCCTTAAATGAACATAATTATACTAACAGTCATTGAAGGTGTGGAAAGAATCACATCATTATTTGTCTGATCATATTATTTCTGTTTGAAACCCTAATGTAGATATTGGAATTTCTCCAAGATGATAAGTGGCTTTTCCTGTAGCTACCTAACTTTTTTTTTTTTTCATGGAATCACAGCTTAGGCCTCAACATACTTAGCATGTGACCTCTTTTCACTTTACAGGCATGGGTAGTAAAGCAGACAGTAACAAAGCAATTAGAGAGGATATTGTTCTCATCAATATATTTGGTAGTGAATTTTTATCTGGAAACTATAATCCCTGTGGCTATCACTAGCTCAATGAGCAAAGTGCTGGAAACTATTGATTAATATATACTTTCTCATAAGTTTTTTTTCAAATATTTCAATCTAAATCAAGATTGCTGTAAAAGTTATCACAGTCATATTGATCACAACAATCTACATATATATTTACAAAGACCAGAACACTTGTTCAGTTTCTCAGGATAACGCATAAAGTTAAATTTCAGGCACCTAAATCCAAAAATGTGCTTTAAGGAACTGAAATGCCAGGCATATCAAATCTCTTTCAAAGAGTAGCCAGTTTGTTTGATTCTAAAATATTTTAAAGATTTTTAAGCATACTAGAATTTAAATAAGTTGGTTTAAAAATTTGCCAATATCCTGTTTCCCAATGTTCTAGAAAAGAGAATCTGACTTTCTTGTGATGTTATGCTTTTTATTTAAAAAGTTAATTATTTGGCTGCCAACTTTTTAAATATTGGCAAAAGCTGGGAAATGCAAACAATGTATATGTAACTTTGAAAACAAATACGTAAAAGACAATCTCCATGTGCTTTATCCAAAGCTGCATCTGACCTGTAGATTTACCTTACTATTGTGCCACTAAACAGTGCAAATTGCTAGACTGTGAAGCACAAACCCATTATCTGCAAAACATCCTTTGAAATTTATGTTCAAATATTTTTTGTTCCACAGAGCCATTTCATTTTTGTTAAATAAATCCCCCCGACACATATGCTCACCGAAGTTGCTTAGATTATTTTGAACCGCAGTCTTTTATTTTTTTTTTCCCCCAAAAACAGAAGTAGAAAGGCTATTCTGTTGCCTAAAAGGGGCAAGCAGAGAAGGAAACTTTTAAATGCGCTTCTGGAAGTTTCTTTGTTTGATGACTCTCTAGGTGGTCCTCATTATCTCCTTCATGAAACGTTAACCTTCAGTATTAAAATGAAAGAGAAAAAGATAAAAAAAAAAAACTTTAGAAAAATAATCCAGCGTGAGACTGATCGCACTTTCTGAGTGACCAAAATCTATCTACTTTAAAGAGGAAATTTTGGGCACAATATTTTTTGTATATGTACAGTACATAAAATGTTTCAAAAGAGGAAAAACAAATAAACAAAAACTTGCCAGTTCCATTAGCTTTCAATGTCTGCTGCAATGGTCCCAAGATATATTCCTATCATATTTTCTTCTTGAAGGATTTAGGTGAGGTTTTTAATATATGTCCAAAAATTAAGTTGTTCCACATCTCAGATATTCAAGGGGAGAAGTAAAACAAAAACAGCCCTCCTTTTCACACTCCTTGCATCATAAGCCTTCTGCACTTGTGTAAAATCTGCAGCAGACACATTGGCAATGTGGAAATAGTTATTTGTGCTTACCTGGCTTGTACTCTGAAAGATGGGAGCAGTGCTATTCACAAGACCATTTCAGGTTAGGTTCTGGTTAATGTTGTTGTTCTGTGGTCATGAGCAAATCCAGCAGATTTCAGGAATGGAAAGCCATTTGAATACAAAAAGAAAAAGAAAAGAGTTCAGCTATTAGCTAGACAGCACAGAGCTGCTGATCACTAACTGTTGGCTGTGAGAAGACAGCACCAGTATGTTCTTAATAGGGAGTAAATGCCATTTGCAGATGTTTTACTAGAACCATGGATGACTTGGCTTGAAATGGACCTTTGGAGCTCATATGGGCCGCTCTCCCACAGTTGAGAGCAGGACCAGCTTAGGTCTGGTGGCTCAGGTTCTTTATGTATATGCATATACCTATGGCCGGAAGTTCTGGCCAGTTCTTTATCGTTTGACCTTGTTCATTTGGATCAGACTCCCACTCTTCTATTAATCTTTTTCCTCTTATGTCTTTGTTTTACTGCAGCCATAAAATAAGTATGACACCATTGATTCTATTGTGCCTTCATAACCCCTCTTCCCAAATAATTTCCATCATTGAGCTTGGTAAGTTTTAATTTTTTCCTTTCTTAGTAAGCAAGTATCAGAAATTTGCTGCTTCTTATCACAGAGAATGTATTGTATATATTCCTTGTAGGTACTTGCTATATCAAAAGGTAGACCATTTGTCTTGCTTGGTCTACTACACTCTGGGTAGAGTTGCAAACTATAGGGAACAGAAGATACCAAACATACACTTATTGAGTGCATCCAGCTCAAAAAAACAAAATAAAAAACAAACAACAAACAAAAAAAAAACCACTTCTTGCATATAAATTAAGGCAGGCAGAGTGTAATGGCAGCCAAAGAAACCTGGGAAACTCTTGAAACAGCATTATGTACACCAAAAGCAAAAGCCTATGCCTCTCTTTCTAACTTACTGCTACTTCTAGTTCTCTTTATCACATGGACATTTTCTTCCTCTTTGACAAGTAGTCTGGGCTTGTAGTTTCTGAGTGTTTCTCAGACACTCCCTTCCCCATCTCTTTCTAAAGCATCACAAAAGTTGCTCTTCACCATGAACGAGCTGTCCTCTCACCTCAAATGTGTGGGCATAACTTCGTGCAACTTTCATTCCCTAGCCTGCTAAATGAATGGGTACAGCCTTTATAAACAAATCATAAACTGGAATAAAAGTTGGACTTTGTGGAAAATAGTTTGAGAGATCAATACTTTTTTTTAATTTTTAATCCAAATACCAGTAGGGAATTTGATGCTGTCTCACATTTTCCAACGCTTCCAGTTTGGTCTCTGCTGCAAGGCAGAGGTGAAGCTGTAGCCTGCAATAGTGAAACATTTCAACACATGGATGAATAGGAAGGAGAGAAGAATAGCCTTAGCGGCCCATTTCAAGTGGCCAGCAAGTCTGTTCGAGGACAGCATCATTTCTGGCAATTTATCTTCCAACAAAAACGGATTAAAATTTTTTTATTTTTGTTTTTATTTAAGAGATTTGCCTAGTCTTTCTTCATGGAAGCATAGTACATATATCACATTTGTTAAAGCTATCCTTGAACAGAACTGATATTGTTTGATAAGCGTGATAAGTTTTCACAGGTTCACTGCAACCCTCTCCTTTCTGCTCTAGCCATGACTTCATATGGAAAGAATGATGAAACAGGAATAAAAAAAGTGATTAGCAATACTAAAGACGTATTGCCATTTCAAAGCACATTTTTTTTTTTCTAAGGATTTGTACACCTCAAAATCAATGAGTTTTAACATCAGAAGACCATGGCAACCTGGGGTTGCTTACTTCAAGTAAAACAGAAATGACAGGACTGGAGAATCAAATATGAAAAAACAGCATCTAGATTCAGCTGTGTGTTAATAGCTACTCTTTATCAGGACTGATGGTTTTATAATCTAAAGGAAGATCAAGCAAGATATGGTCCCTTCCCACCGATTACTTTTGAGTAGGCCAGTATTCAGGCCCCAGTGGGCCTGATTTTTGCTATGAATGCTTAAGCGTTACGGAAAATTAGCTCCTTTGAAGCCCATGAAATTGGTTGCTCAAAAAATCCCCATCTGCTTTAAGAATTTAGCCATTTTCGTGATCCTTGTCACTATTCAAATATAGTAGTGCTTTTGGTATCATGTTCTTGTTTAGCTTCATCCACAATACTTTACGCACATCTGCCATAGTACCAATCTGAGTGCTGTCCACTTCAAAAAAATGTTTTTGCTTCTTTAGATGAGTGACTGTATTTCCTTCTACAGAAACAGGGGCATCTTGCTCAAGTATTAATATAGATTATAGAACCCTTTTACATTAAAATAAACATGCCTTAAATAAAACTAAGATTTCTCCAGGTAATTCTGTTTTTAACACTTTCCTAGTTTCACTTCTTTGTTTATTGTTTTAAATAACTGTCTCTTTTCTCAAATTTCTGTGATTCCTTTTTGTCACCCAATTTGAAGCTGGAAGAGGAGTTTTCTGATGGTGGCAGAAACCAGATCAATACATACGCATTGCCTCTTGCCTCTGTTCTCTCCCCACATCACTGTGCTTTGTGAACAACATATATTCCAGAGAACCCCATGATGCTGTAAGCAATTTTTTATATGGCCAGCACTCTAAAAGACACAGTTGTGCCTTCTCCTCTTATCGGCAGCTATGCATTCCCCATACATAGCTCTTTCCTACAGCTGCCAGCCTGCGAAGTGCCCTAAAAGCAGGCAGAGAACCGGGCCCATCTAACGTCCTTTGAACCATGGCTCTGTCAGGTTCCCTAACCTTTCTGTAGACAGCAACACATTAACACTGTGATATATCTAACAAATATAACAGCTATATACAAAACTTTAATGCACCATGTGTGCAGGCTGAATCACTGCTATTCCATAAAAACCAAGAGAGCATTAGTTGAAGAATAACATTAGACCAGGAGGTTTAACAGGCAATAAGACATCCACCTTGCATTGGGCTGACAAATCAAAAACCCACCACTGTATTTAGTTGTCCTTTCATATCCTGTTTTATATGCAAAGAACTTCTTCACAGACCATTTCCACTAACTGGCCTAACTAACCACCTTCCATGAATAATAAACTAAACTTGTTCTGAAGTGGACAGTGGACCCAGTTTATTTCTGGCCTTCAAATCCTTAGAATTAAGTTTGTCTGCTTCTATGAAACCAGCTCCTCACAATATTAGCACGAAGTAGGTACAAAAGGAAAAATAAGCAAGCAAGCTTGAAACTGGGGAAAAAGCATGAATAGGCAAAGACAGCAGAAGAACAATAGGTGGGAAAATAGGCTAAAAATAACACAGAATTGCAAGAACTTAGAGGGAAAAAGTAAGGCGGAAAACAGAAGTGACTGAAAAGGGAGGGAAGGGGGAGGAAATGCCATGTGTTTTTCACTGCACCAAGAAGAGCATATAGCACCTGAAACGACTTTTTTTTTTTTTTTTTTTTTTTTTTTTTTTTGAGAGGCAGCACCTCAAATAATTCAGAGCCAAGACTATGCAGAAAGGTGGCACTGGAAGTTATGTAGTTAGCACAGGCCTACCTGAGATAGTGAAGGAAATATAGCTGCAAGAAGCATTCACTCTTTGTAAAGGTGGCCAAGAAAGCAGCAACCTGAGTCACTTATTTTACTGATATCCTAAGGATCTCCCCAACACTTCCAGGTGTCAGTGACTTGTCACATTAAATAAGGCAGTAGAGAAGGCTCCTGGGGACAGGCTACCTCCCAAGCAGGTGTTTGCTATCACCTTGGTGCTTGCTTAGAGCTAGTGCAAGGAGGATCAGCTGTGAAATATCTTAGACTAAATTGACCATAAGGCACCTGTGAAAATAACAGCTTGTGAGTGCTCCCAGAAGAAGGACTTGCAACAGTAATCCATTTGAAGCAAGTAAAATGACAGTCTTAAGCTGTGTCCTTTGAACATACAGAGTAAAAAAGTCAGGAAAATCTTACATGCAGCAGTGACAAGCATTAAATAGCTGATAGCACAGAGGCAGGAAATACATTGTGCTGAGGGTTTTTACCATGACCAAGGATAATAATCATTTCCAATAGAAATAGCAAAAGACAATTCAAGGTCTTGTGGCAAATGAAAAATTGATACAAAGCTATGAGAAAAGATTTTAATGACTGTGGTTTTATTAGAGCTGTTAAGGCCTACTGTATAATCTGTCCCTAGAATATTTTTTCCATAAGCTTTGTGGGAATTGGACATCCATAAGACCCTTTAACTTGAATGAAAATGATGTGGCAACATCTTGTGTAACTCTGAAAAATATATGCAATCCTGCTATGCAGAACAGAGCGGTGATTCTCCCCATGGACCTTGTCTGTTACCTTATACATTGTTGAATAATTGTGTTTCCAATAGTTTTCTACATTTAAGGCTTTTTCTGGTACAAATCTACAGTGTGCCTGTGGAAATCATGCAGGGCTCTTTATGAGACCTGATAAGCAAAGACAGTGCACTGATCTTGTAAAAAATATACAAAGCCTCCATGAAAAACTGTGCCTGTCCTAAGATGCTAAGCCTTTCTTGATTTCATCCTTGTAGCCAAAAAGCATTGCCTCTGGCTGAGCGTTTAAACCACCCTTTTAGCATCAGTATTTTAGTGGTAGCATTTTTTTAAGGATTTTAAGACTCCCTGCTGAAATACCTGCAAAGCTAAAACTAAATTAAAAAAGCAATTCTGAGATGGGGCTGGAAGTGCTGCAGACTGACTGCCTCTGTGCTCATGACAGAAGAGGAGGATCATGGAATTATCATGTTTGGAAAAGACCTTTAAGATCATCGAGTCCAATCATAAGCCCCTTAACACCATGCCTACCAAACCATATCCCTAAGTCTACAAGACATCTATACATGTCTTGAACACTGCCAGGAATGGTGACTTCCCTGGGCAGTCTGTTCCAATGCTTCACCACTCTTTCTGTGCAGAAATTCTTCTTAAAGTCTAACCTGAACCTCAACTTGAGGCCATTTCCTCTTGTCATTTTGATAGATATTCTGGAGAAGAGATCAACCGCTATCTCACTACAATCTCTTTTCAGGTAGTTGTAGAGAGCAGTAAGGTAACCCGGATCCTCCTCTTCTCTAGTCTAAATAACTCCAGCTCTCTCAGCCAGTCCTCAAAATGTCTGTGCTCCAGCACTTTCACCAGTTCCGCTGCCTTTCTTTGAAGACACCCCAGCACCTCAATGTCTTCCTTATAGTGAGGGGTCCAAAACTAAGCACGATACTCGAGGTATGGCCCCACCAGCGCTGAGTTCACAGGGAAGATAACTTCCGTAGTCCTGCTGGCTACACTATTCCTGATACAACTCAGGAAGCCATTGGCTTTTTTGGCCACCTGGGCACACTGCTAACTTATGTTCAGGTGGCTGTCAACCAACACTCTTAGGTCCTTTTCAGTCACAGAGCAATTCAACCACTCTGCCGCAAGCCTGTAGCATTGCATAGGGTTGTCATGATCAAAGAACAAGACTCAGCACTTGGCCTTGTGGAACCTCAGCCCATTGATCCAGCTTGTCCAGATTCCACTGCAGAGCTTTTTCCACTGCAGAGCTTTCCTTCCCTCAAGCAGATCAACAATTCCTCACAGCTTAGTGTCATCTGCAAATTTGCTGAGGGTGCACTCAATCCGCTCATCCAGATCACTGATATAGATATTAAAGAGGACTGACCACAACATTGATGCCTGGGGAACACTGCTCATGACTGTCTGCCAGATGTATTTAACTCCATTCACCACCACTCTCTGGGCCTGTCCATCCAGCCAGTTCTTCACCCAGCAAAGAGTGGGTACATCTATCTAGGCCACGAGCTGCCAGCTTATCCAGGAGAATCATAGAAAAAAATCATAAAATGCTTAAGGTTGGAAGGGACCTCAGCGGTCATCTAGTCCAATCCCTCTGCTCACGCAGGGTCACCTAGAGCACGTGGCACAGGGCTACATCCAAGGGTTTTAAAGATCTCCAAAGAAGGAGATTCCACAACCTCCCTGGGCAGCCTGTTCCAGGGCTCTGTCACCCTCACTGTCAAGAAATGTTTTCTTAAGTTCCTGTGGAACTTTTGGTGCCTCAGCTTGTGGCCGTTTCCTCTAGTCCTATCGCTGTCCACCACTGAAAAGAGACCGCCCCCCTCCTCCTCACTGCCTCCCTTGAGGTATTTATACACACTGATCAGGTCCCCCTCAGCCTCCTCTTCTCCAGGCTGAACAGGCCCAGCTCTCTCAGCATTTCCTCACAGGGCAGATGTTGCAGGCAGATGTTCCAGTCCTGACCATCCTTGTAGCCCTGCACTGGACTCTCTCCAGCCGTTCTACATCCCTGTTATACTTGGGAGCCCAGAAATGGACACAGTCTTCCAGATATGGCCTTATCGGGGCAGTGTAGAGAGGGGGACAATCACCTCCCTTGAGCTGCTGGAGACACTCTCCTTAATGCACCCCAGGATCCCACTGGCCTTCTTGGCCACGAGGGCACACTGCTGCCTCATGGTCATCTTATCATCTGCCATGACGCCCAGGTCCCTCTCTGTGGGGCTGCTCTCCAGCAGGTCAACCGCTAATCTGTACCGGTGTCTGAGGTTATTCCTCCCCAAGGGGAGGAGCCTGCACTTGCCCTTGTTGAACTTCATGAGATTTCTCACCGCCCAGTCGTCCAGTCTGTCTGGGTCCCTCTGGATGGCAGCACAGCCCTCAGGGCTATCAGCCACTCCTCCCAGTTTGGTATCATCAGCAAACTTGCTGAGGGAGCACTCCAGCCCTTCATCTAGGTCGTTAATGAATAAGTTGAACAGGACCGGACCGAGGACTGACCCCTGAGGGACACCAGTAACTACAGGCCTCCAACTGGACTCCGCGCCTCTGACTACCACTCTCTGCACCCTGCCATCGAGCCAATTTCTAATCCACCTCCCCGTCCACTCATCTATCCCACACCTTCGGAGCTTGCCCAGGAGGATGCTGTGAGGGACAGTGTCAAAAGCCTTGCTCAAATCCAGATAGACCACATCTACCGCTCTGCCCTCGTCTATCCAGCTAGATATTCCTTCGTAGAAGGTGATCAGGTTAGTCAAGCAGGATTTCCCCTTGGTGAATCCATGTTGGCAACTCCTGAGCACCTTCTTCTCCTCCACATGTCTGGAGACAACAGCCAGGATGAGCTGTTCCATCACTTTTCCGGGGATGGAGGTGAGGCTCACCGGCCTGTAGTTGCCCAGGTCCTCCTTCTTGCCCTTTTTGAAGACTGGAGTGACATTGGCTTTCTTCCAGTCCTCCAGCGCCTCCCCCGTTCTCCAAGACCTTTTGAAGATGATGGCAAGCAGCTCGGCTATGACATCCACCAGTTTCTGCAACACCCTGGGGTGCATCCCATCAGGGCCCATGGATTTGTGGGTGTCAAGTTTCCTTAGGTGCTCTCTGACCCACTCTTCCTCTACCCAGGGTAAGCGTTCCTCTCTCCAGCTCACTTCTTGTGTCCCTAGGGCCTGGGATTCTAGAGGGCTGCCCCTGACAAACACCGAAGCAAAGGCAGCATTCAGCAGCTGTGCTTTCTCCATGTTTTTCATAACCAGGGTACCCACCCCATTCACTAGTGGACCCACGTTTTCCCTCACCTTCCTTTTGCTGTTAATATATTTGAAGAAGTTCTTCTTGTTACTCTTAACATCCCTTGCCAGATTTAATTCCAAATGTGCCTTAGTTTTCCTTGTAGCCCTTGTATCACCCCTGCATTCCCTGACAACGTTCCTGTATTCCTCCCAAGGGGCCTGTCGTTTCTTCCACATTCTGTATACTGCCTTCGTCTGCTGGAGTTTTGCCAGGAGCTCCCTGCTCATCCATACAGGTCTCCTGTCCCCTCTGCCTGACTTCTTGCGCACAGGGATGCACTGCTGCTGGGCATGGAGGAAATGCCGCTTGAAAACTAACCAGCTCTCCTGGGYCCCTCTTCCTTCTAGAGCCCTAGCCCACGGGATCTTTCCAAGAAGGTCTCTGAAGAGGCTAAAGTTGGCCCCCCTGACGTCCAGGGTGGCAAGGCTACTTACTGCCCTGCCTCCTCCTTGTTGGATCCTGAACTCCACCAGCTGGTGATCATTGCAGCCAAGGCTGCCCCACACCTTCACATCTTCAACAAGTCCCTCTCTGTTTGTTAGTATGAGGTCCAGTAGCCCACCTCTCCTCGTCCGCTCCTCCACAACCTGTGTCAAAGAGTTGTCATCGACACACTGTAGAACTTCCAGGACCGTTTGTGCCTTGCTGTGCTGTCTTTCCAGCTGATGTCAGGGTAGTTAAAGTCCCCCATGAGAACCAGGGCCTGTGACCGTGAGGTAACTTCCAGCTGCCTGTACTACCTCCTCCTCCTGATCAGGTGGCCTGTAGCAGACACCCACCACAGTGTCTCCCACGTTGGCCTGCCCTTTAACCCTTACCCACAAGCTCTCCACCCGCTCATCATCCATCCCAGGCTGAGCTCCATGCATTCCAGTTGCTCTCTCACATACAGAGCAACTCCACCACCTCGCCTTCCCASYCTGWYMTTCCTARAGAGMACATAGCCCTCCATGACAGCGCTCCAGTCGTTAGAGCTATCCCACCACGTTTCTGTGATTCCTATGAGATCATGGTGCTGGGC